GGGCCCCGCGCGGGGCTGAGGGAGGAGGTGGGGGTGCCCTGAGAGTGGGGGGGGGGGGGCGGTTGGGGTCCCCTGGTCGGGCTGAGGGAAGAGATTGGGGTTCCCGGGGGAAGAGGGGGATGTTTGGGGTCCCCTGGTGGGGCTGAGGGAGGAGATCGGGGTTGTTTCCCCAGCCGTGCCTGTTTTGGGTCCCCTGCAGTGTTGGTCCCCGCTTGATGGGTGTCAGCGGGGCATCCCTGCAACGAAGGGGTCCTTAGGGGCACATAAAACCAAATCCCGACCAAGCCCCCCCATTTTTACCAAAACACCGCTGTTTCTTGGGGAAATAAAACTCAGGATCTTGATGCTGCTTTGCTGCTACATGTGTTGATTTTGTCTTGCGGCTGCAGACAGGGGCTTCGATCTCACTTTCCGGACAGCGGATGATGCGGGCCTGTCCCTGATAAAATATGGAGAATTTCTGTATGACAACTTGATCATCTTCTCGCCATCCATAGAAGGTAAATACCAGAGGGGAAAACTCAAGCGCTTTTGAAGCTTGGTGGCATTTTTGGAAAAGGATTTCCAACTGTTTTGTGAATTTTAATTAAATTTTGCCTTCTAGATGTTCTCCTTTGTGTCTTGTACCCAGTAGCAACCTGCAGATACATTCAGGCCTTTAACGGTGGTTCTTTCAGCTGTGATAAAAATGATTTGGTGTTTTGCTGTGGTTTAATTCTGTGGGGGTATTATTTCTGAGTACTAGTCATGAATTTCTGGCGTGCACTTTCAGATTTTGGTGGAAACATCAATGTGGAGACCATCACCGCTTTCATTGACGGCGGCGGCAGCGTCCTCGTCGCCGCCAGCTCGGACATTGGTAAGTACAAACGCTCGTCAGAGCAAATTAGCATGTTCCGGCCGCTTCTTGTAATGGGTACCTACACTGCTTACGCTCCACCATGAGCAAATCGTTTATTCATCCTTCTCTGAGTTCCTGCAACAAAAATGGTGAGAAAACAGTTTCTTGTTGTGAGCCTCAGGGTTTGTGCTGTAAAGAAATGGGTGATAAATAGCTTTTATTGACATTTTGAATGGGAATTCAGATGAGGGAGGTTGTGACGCTCCTCGGCGTTTGGCTCGCAGAGCGTCGGAACGCCTGACTCCGAGCTGAATTTACTTTTTATTTTGAGTGCTGAGATGTCGTCACATCCCAAATGCGCTGCATCACGGAGAATCCATTTTGTCCTTCCAGGCGACCCGCTGCGAGAGCTGGGCAGCGAGTGTGGGATCGAGTTTGATGAGGAACGGACAGCCGTCATCGACCATCACAACTACGATATATCCGACCCTGGCCAGGTAAACGGGTTTGCCTGCACGTTTTGGGTTTTTTTAATGAGAACTTCGGCGTAAAGGTTTGGGGATGAGTCTTCTGTCCTTGTTTTCCCTTTTTTCTTCCATCCTTTCTGTTTTCTCAGCCTCCTCCCAAGAAAGTCATAAATATTTCTGCTTGACAACATGACGTAACGCTACAAAGCTGTGCTCGTTTGGGGTCTTTGCCCTCAAATCTGTCTTTCCGAATTTCCTGGGTTTGATCTTTCCACTGCCCTGAGTAATTTCAAGTTGTCACTGTGCCTCAGGCAGCCACGCTACAATTAACGGTGGTTTTGAACGACTCTGAAGTGTGTGGGGGGCAATTTCACCTGTGGGTGAAGCGTATCAGACCCCGAGTGCGACACTTTGGATGAGAGAAGGGGGATTTTCAGTCCCAGAGACCAGTATAGAAATGTACACGTCTCGATGATTATTTTCTCCTTCCCCTCATGTCATCCAGCGCTTTAAAGTTAAAACCTGTATTAAGGTCTGAACTTAATGTACCATGCTAATTTTTTATTTAAACTTAACTAAGCGGTAGATGGATGTTGTCCTAGTTTAGGGATGAAACTTGCTAAATATGGGGAAGTAAAATACAGTAGGCATTGCTGTCTTTATCAAAGAACATTTCCTTATGTATCAGTATTAATTTAATTTGACCATAATTAAACAAAAAAATGCTGGTTTTCTGCTTTTTAATTGACTTGTAACGTCCATCCAACAGCTGCTCAGTTTTAATTGTCTGTAAAAACAAAGTTAACTTTCAAATAACAAGAGAAGCTGTTGCTTGCCGTTAGAAACACCAACCCGCCAGCCCGTGCAGCGCGCTCACACCGCTCTCTCTCGTTTCTCCCAGCACACGCTCATCGTCGCAGACCCCGAAAATCTCCTGAAGGCCCCCACCATCGTGGGGAAAGCGGCGCTGAACCCCATCCTTTTCCGAGGAGTCGGGTAAGCGGCCCGCGGCGCGGGGAGTGGGGTGAGGTGGCCGTTGTCGGGGAAGCGGAGCAAAAATACCGGTGTTGCTGCGAGGTGAGCGTAGGGTTAACAGCCGCGACTCTTCACGCGAGCAATCTCTCTTGATTTCAGGTAACGATAAAAAGAAAATCTCCAAAGCAGCTTAGTTGTTGACTTAGCAACGTTTCTTAATGTAAATTAGCGAAGCTTGACTGTGTATCTTGAGGAAATACTTCCATTTCGTGGTGCGTGCGGTTGTCTTGCCGCACCTGAAGGGTGAGGAGGTTCGCGCGGCTGAGCTGGCGGCTGCGCGTTCCGCGGGGGGCCGGGGGCCTTGGTGCCGCTCACCGTGCCTCTCCCTGCCAGGATGGTGGCTGATCCTGACAACCCGCTGGTGCTGGATATCCTGACTGGCTCTTCTACCTCTTACTCCTTCTTCCCAGATAAGCCCATTACTCAGGTACGCTCCGCTACTTTTTCTCCTCTTCTGGGCTACTCCCTCAAATTTCAGCAACTTGGAAAAATCCTGGAGCGTTTAGTCTCCTGAGGGATTTTTGGAAGCGTCGGGCTTTCTGACATTGCCCTGGGAATCTTCCTCTTTGCTTTTTGTTGGTGGGAGAGAACGTCCAGCGGGAGGGATGCTTTGGAAGAAAGGCCAGCCTGGATGAAAGCGTATCTCCTGCTTCATTCCAGCCGGAGAGGGCAGGAGCTGTGAATTATTCTGAGCTGCTTCGTTTCTATTTAATTGCGGGCTGTGCTAGCGACAGTCGGGCTGTTCCACCCCGCAGCAAACTGGAGATCACCTCTCCTTTAATCATCCCTAAATTGGCTAAACACTCTTCTAAACGTGTTCCTTTTCAGTACCCCCACGCGGTCGGGAAGAACACCCTTCTGATCGCGGGGCTCCAAGCCCGGAACAACGCCCGCGTGGTTTTCAGCGGCTCCTTGGATTTCTTTAGCGATGCCTTCTTCAATTCCGCGGTGCAGAAAGCTACCCCTGGCTCCAAGAGGTACGTCGGCTTCCTGGCCTCCCTGCCTGAAGAATATTGGATAAAGAATATCCTGGGAAACAGGCAAAAAATATTCACGTTATGGGAAATGGCAGAAAGCTTGAATTAAATTTGGGGTGACGCGTTCCTTTGGCCTTGCGGAACAAAGCACTTGGGGAAGCAATTCCTTCCTTTCACCCCGGCTAGCTTTTTGTTGCTTTCATATCTGTGAATGGTTTGGGTTTTGGCACGCAGTGTGGTTTTTCGGCGTGGCCGCCATCCTTTCTCCGCCTTCCTTCGTCCGTAGATACTCGCAGACGGGTAATTACGAGCTGGCTGTCGCCTTGTCCCGCTGGGTGTTCAAGGAGGAGGGAGTGCTGCGCGTCGGAGCGGTGTCCCACCACCGCGTGGGGGAACTCGCGCCTCCCAACGCCTACACCGTCACCGATCTCGTGGTAAGTGCCCGCTTGGGGCAGGAGGGGACGCGGGAGCCGCTTCGGTAAAGGGATTTGGGAAAATTTGAACTCGGAACGGGTCGAGGTTTGTTTTCAGGCATCGCTCGTTAACTTCACGCCTTGTGGGTTCGTTCCAGGAGTACAGCATTGTAATCGAAAAGCTTTCTGACGGCAAGTGGGTCCCCTTCGACGGAGACGATATTCAGCTGGAGTTCGTCCGCATCGATCCCTTCGTGCGCACCTTCCTGAAGAGGAACGGTAGGTTTCCCTCGCCGCCCCGGCCCCGCGGTGGCGGTGTTTTCGCCGCTCGGCTTCCACGGCTTCTCGCCTCGCCTCAACGTCGTCGCCGTCTCTTTCTCAGGCGGCAAATACAGCGTGCGGTTCAAGCTGCCGGATGTCTACGGAGTGTTTCAGTTCAAAGTGGATTACAACCGGCTGGGTTACACCCACCTCTACTCCTCCACCCAGGTAAGCGCAGCGGGAATCCGTCAGCCGAGAGGGAAGCGCGCCCGGACCGCCGGGCTCACCGGGCCGCTCTCTCCCCTCCCAGGTCTCCGTGCGTCCCCTCCAGCACACGCAGTACGAACGTTTCATCCCCTCGGCGTACCCCTACTACGCCGGCGCCTTCTCCATGATGGTTGGACTCTTCATGTTCAGCATCGTCTTCCTCCACATGAAGGAGAAGGAGAAATCCGACTGAGCTCCCTGGGGGAGGAGGCGCCGGGCAGGGCCGGGCAGCGCTCGGGACCCGCATTCGTAACCCTGTGAGGACTGGTAGGTGCCGGACACGCCGTGGATTCGTGTTTGGTCTTTGTATTTTTACCTTGAGGGGGGATTTAAGAGGAAAGAAAATGAAATTTTGGGGGGAAACCCGTCGCCGAAGCGTCTGGAAACATGGCGCCTCCGGCGTTGTTCCTGATGAGTTTGCGACGTTTGTCTCGCCCCGCTGCTGGGATGATGTCGATTCGAGATTAATTCCCGTTTCAAAATAAAGTCTCGTTCCTCTCCCGGGTCGAAGCGAAGTGAATTCACCGCGTGGGGCTTTGGGCCGCGTCCCCGGAGCGGCGGGTGGCACCGCAGGGACGTGTCCCCGCGTCGCCCTCGCCTGCTCGGGGTGTCCGTGGGGCGGGCTGCGAGGGAAACGGGGCGTGCGGAGGGGCTTGGGACACCCCGAAAAGCACCCCGAGGGTTCCCCAAAGGCACGCCGAGGACGACGGGGCGCCCCAAACCCACGCCTGTGCCCCAAAAAGCGAAGAGGTGGGTTCGGGGACAGCCCTGAAGGCTCAGCGGGGGTTCCCTGGGCAGGAACCGGCAGCTGGAAGACGCGACCCCGAGAAAACCGGAGGAGCCGAGGGGGTGAGCGGCTCTCGGCGAGCGCCGGGGCCGTTTTGGGGTGGAAACCGAGGGAAATGGCGCCGGGGCTTCCCCCGTCCCTGCCCGGGGTCGGAGGGGACAGGCTCCGCCCACCGCCCGCCCCCCTCCCGCGAGACGCCCACTGA